GGACCTCACCTCCATCCTTAAGTAGTGCAGGTGGGATGGAATCCGGGCCAGCGGCACGAAAATGATTGAGGGCTTTAATCGCGTTTCGGACCTCCGCCTCCAACGGAAGCTCTAAACTAACCGCCATGGCTCTCCTGCATCACCTGAGTAGGAAGAGGTTCGGGAGCAGGGGGCCAGCTGAACTGATCTTGAAAGTGTTCCGCCCAAATAGCCATACGGCGCTTCTTATTGTGTATCAGCGCACCCGCGCTGTCTCTGGTTGTCTCACTGACGCCCGGTTTCCTAGGACCAGTGGTGCATATCAGCTGGAAGAGCTTGCGGTAATTACCCACTGGTACTGCCTCCTCCATTTCTTGAGCCAGACTGGTCCACCGGGCTTCCTTGTCAGCGAGCAGCCTTTGCTTTAATTCACGCCTAATAGCCCGTCTGGACACATCGGGTTCAGATCCAGCTGGTGGGAGGTGTCTTATAGATGCCACAAGTCCACCAACCTCTGGGATATCCAGTGACTGGTGCGGTGACAATTGCCAGTGCCACAAGCAGATGCTCCTGCGTCGTGCATGGCGGTCGAGATCCGATTCCACTGAAGCTCAGTGTCATTAGGACAAGACAGCGGAAGTTCAGTGTGCAGTGCTTCTTGATAGGCTTGCTCGACCGAGGACCGAGACAATTTCTCATTTGCCAATCGTAGGGGACGCTTGGTGCGCCTCCCAGTAAAGTTCAGGGAGAAACGGCAACGTACCAAAGCATGAGCTGAGTCGAAACAGGTACTCCAGTACGAGCAGCAATCCAGGATGGACCCACATCATCTGTAACTTATGGCTATGTGGTTAATTCGGGTCCATCGCGGGCCAGCTACAGGAGGACGCCAAGTCGCACGTCGGCGCACACTGTGTCTAAAAGCAATGCTACCAAGAAACAACTGGTGCTCCGCACACAGTCGCAGCAGACGCACACCGTTGCCAGTCCGTTCGGAGTTAAGCCCACATTTACTACCTAGCTGAGCTTCTGAAGAGCTCAGACGCCCAACTTTTGCGTTCATAACCCCTGCAAGTACCATAATATCTGAACTAGTAGCACTGCGTAGTAGCGCATGCAGTTCGTTATATAATATGTCCCTGACAGCCTTTGAACTGCAGTCGTTGGGAGCATAAGCGGAAATCACTAACAAACAGCGTTTATTACTACTTCCTGAATCAATCTCAGCTGATGTCGTTAAACGGGCTGCACATAAACGGCTGTTCACAGGAATTCAAGCATGCAACGATGGCTCAGGCTTGAAGCTTAGAATGATACCTACACCAGCTTGACCCGTGAGTGTTGCATCGGCTTCTCCGGATGCGTGCAACCAACAACGAGAGGCCAACCCCATTGGGGTCGTTGATCCTAGTTTCGGACACACAAAACACATCAATACCCAGTGTGTCCAAGGTGTGTGTGAGTGCAGAGTTTTGCCCTGCTTAGCTTAGAGTGCTAAAGTGGAATGTCGCCATGGAAACGGGATAGCGTGACCTTATAAGGGATGATGCCGATAGGCGTCCGTTAGGTGTGGTGGGATTGTGGCTGCAGCTGCTTTTACTCCAGCGGCACTTCAGTTGCTGTCAATTAAGCTGGGAATTATAGAAGGAAGGTCAGTAATGAGGGTCGAGATGGGAGTAAGAGAAATAGGTGGAAAAGGAAGAAGGGAGGCGCTAGCAGTAGCATGTTTTGGCTTATCCGCCCTGCTGTATGCAGCAGATAAGGCGACCCTTGTTAACCTGCGCGACGGCCGATGCAGGATATAGTTTATGTTTGAAGAAAATGTCATGGTTGTATGTGGGCTGAGATACTGCCAGGGCGCCTAGACCGAGACAGGAAGACGATTGGGGTCTTCCTTCAAAGCTTTTGGCTAAGGAGCCTGTCCGCAAGGCCGCGGGGAGGTGGCAATGATTTAGTTTTACAGAAATGGACGCCATCTCTTTCAAACCGCCAACCTAGAGGACCAGGGGACTGAGATTTTGACCTCTCAGCATCGACCATCCTGGTAGGAGTGGCTCTCAAGGTGCCCGGAGGCAGCACCCTGTATGTCTAAATGGGTCTATGCAGTACGCAAACCGTCGCACCATGTTAAGGCTCAGTCTCGTTGCGAAGGCTGACGCCAGCACTGCTATCGACTTGGCAGCCATGGCCACAGCGCAAACCCAAAGCTCCTGAGGTTGATCTACTACGCAGGTATCCCTCACTGGACATAGGACCAGTTCCGCTGACATCATCAGACGGGACTTTACTTTGCGCTTTCTCTCTAGGTACGCCGCGCCCAGTCATCACACGAGAGTTTCGGCAGACCGTGTTCGACAAGTTGCAGGGCTTGTCTCATCCAGGCGTTCGGGCATCGGTTAAACTCGTAACCGTAAGATTCTTTTGGCGCAATGTCAGTCGGGACGCCGGTACTTGGGCAGCTGATTGCCTTCGGTGTCAACGCGCGAAGGTGCACATGCACATGAAAAGCCCAGTAGGCAGGGTTCCTACGCCGGACGCACGTTTTCATCACGTGCACGTCGACCTCGTAGATCCTCTACCGGCTTCAAAAGGCTTTGTGTATCTATGGCCTGTATCGAACGATTTACTGTATGGCCTGAGGCTGGTCCTATCTCAAATTACTCCTCGGACACGGTAGCGAAAACTTTTCTGGAGCGCTGGGTAGCTCAATACGGCTGTCCCGTCATCGTGACTACTGATCGTGGGTCACACTTTTCCTCCACGTTTGCTTCTTTACTTAAGGACTTACGTTGCCACCACGTCCAGACGACGGCATATCATCCTGCCGCTAATGGCGCGGTGGAGCGTTTTTAGCACGCTGAAGACAGCGCTACGTGTGCTTGCAGATCATCCATGGTCCGAAACACTTCCCCTCGTCCCCCTGGGCTTAAGAAACACAGTTAAAACCGAGTTCGATGCAACATCAGCGCAGATAGTCTACGGCCGCACGCTGCGGTCGCCTGGACAAATGGCTGCACCAGCCCCGTCTGCTTTCTCTTTTGACTACGGAAGTTACACCGACAGAATGGCTCCCCAGATGAGTGAGCTGCGTCCACCCGCTCCTCAGTCGCAGAAGACACAAGTGTGCGTGCCTGAGAAGCGGTTTACGTGTTCACACGTTCTTCGTGCAGACGGTGTTCGACAGTCGCTTCAGTCGCCGTACATAGGACCTTTCAAAGTGCTACACCGCGCGAATAAAACGTCCACTATTGACCGCAGTGGACGACGTGAAGCCGTCCCCATCAACCATCTGAAGCCTACCTCTATAGAAGAAGAAACCTCGCCTACTTTGCCTAGTAGTGCTTCGTGTGACGTCACAACCCACCGCCCCAGCATTCAGCAACCTATTACAATTCAACCGGACCACAATCTCGGTCTGCAAACATCAGCCGTCCCGACATCTACCGAAACTAGCCCGCTGTCTCCTACGACCAATCGTCGTGGTCGCGAGGTACGCAAGCCGGTTCGTTTTTCCGACCATATGCAGTGTAAATACGTTTAGGTTTGCAAATATTGTATATATTTTCCCCGCTTTTGCTCGAATGACGTGAAAACCAAAAAACATCAAGAACATCTAAAACTGTTCAAAATATTCAAAACACACAGGTCATTTCTTAGTTCTGGCGTTTTGGGCGCGTTTTTCTATTTTCTCGTCTCTACATGTCCCAATCCTGCCCTTCGAACGACTGGCCCACGCGATCGATGTCTTAGAGGATCCTGACGCGAACGCTGCTCGTTTTTCAGCGGGATGAGGGTCACTTCCTCGTGAAACGACGGCCTTTTTCCCTGTGGGACCATGGTGGTGTTGGCGCGGGGTGGGGTGTGGCTGGGAGAGAGACTACTCCCAAACGCACCGTTTGGCAGCAGCGGAGGTTGAGGTCCTGTCGGCCTTTTACTGAGCTGGGCAGCTTTTTGCTGTCCGACAAGCCCGCTCCAACGGCTCGCCAAAATGCCCTGCCCTTCGGGTAGTGCTTAGTAATGTGCGTGGCCTAAGGAACAAGGTACACGAGTTTGTCTACTTGTGGACAAATCTCGTTCCGACATACTTGCTATCACCGATACGTGGCTGTTCCCAGATATCACAAACAGTGAAGTATGTTTACCTGGCTACGCACTGCTTAGATGTGATCGCTCCTTTGGCCGCCAAAGTGGGGGCGTCGCTATGTGAGTTGTAAACTTAATAAATAAATAAATAAATAAATAGTATATTCTCTGTAAAACGAGACACACCTCTAAAAGGCATGATCAAATATGCATACAAGCATAGCTTCTTTGGAATATTAAAACATTTCGTTACAATGAAAGGAATAAACTAAAAGATGTAGTCCATAAGAGCGAGCATATTGTCAGGTAATAGTCAGACCAAGGATCATAATGGCGCCGTGGCGCGCAAAAACTGTTGCGTCAAGATACAAGTGGGGGGTAAATTTGCCATGTAGTGATCCATCAGCACAGGAGCCCTAACAAGGTTTAGTGCAATCGATGACCATTACGAAGCCGGGATGATCGGTACTCCACTAAAGCATTCTTCATAGTAAAATCAGTTGCACAGGTTCGATGTTGGAGGCTGAGGACTGCGTCAGTGTGAAATGTATAGCTGTGACTTTATTTTGTGGCGAGTCACATCCGCCACGTTGCAGTGTTGTTAAGCGGACATTTGTGGCTTTTTATAGGGAGAACGCTTGCCAGGCGAAAATCCACCACGTCCTGGAACACTGTCGTAGCTTCCGTTGTACTGTAGTGCTAGTCGGCTATGCATCGTATAGACCGATTTTGCACTCTATTATTCGCAGTCGGTTGACAGCCAAAATTTTTCGTTGGTTGGTCAAATGGCTTAGTACTGAACCGGCAATAGTCGTTGAAGCCAGTCAATGATGTAAAACAGTCGCAAAGTCGAATGATAATGATGCGGGTGAGTAAACATATTGTTAATAGAGGCCGGCTTTTTCTATTATATTGTCCGGCTCGCAACCCGTGTCCAGCTATCCATGCTGGACTTGTCATAGGGACGGTGAGTGCGGTTGTTTCTTGTGTCTGAATATGTCCAAAACAGGAATAAATGCTATTCTCCGCGAAGTGGACAAGTATTTCCTTCAAATGTAAGTGTAATTGTTTCCATAACCAAGTGAGAACTCCAGGAAAAATCATCGGAAAAGCCGCTTATGCGCGCGCAGTGCTGTCCGTGAAATGACATCAGAAAGCTCCAGGTGACTGGAGAATCGGAATGTTTGAGGCAGTGAAGGTAATCACGCCAGAATTGTCAGTCTCCGGTTGTGGAACAGTGGATCCATGTAACTACATTATTCCAGGTGAGTAAATTGTTCTACTGTGAGTACGAGGCGAGCTAAACCCATTTGTTTAGACCCCGTGGTGGTAGCTTCTCCAGAATGGCGGAAGGAGCTCCATTTGGAACGATGTGTGGGTTCTTCATCTCCCGGAGAAAAGAACAAGCATGTAAAACAGCTGGCTATTGAAAGTGGGTCGACTATTCCCAGTGGATAAACCTTCTTGTTTTGGCGGATGTATCTGTGGAAATCTCGGGAGAAAACGGGCAACGGACAAGAGGCAGCCAAACAGAAAGTCAGCAACGAAGCAAGAAGCACAAACACAGACTGGTAGCGCGCAACGGTGCCTATGATACATTAAAATTTATGTAATTTTGTTTAGTATACATGATTTGCAAGCGCGTTCTTTACATCACGTCGCTGGTGTGCCACAGACTACAACTACTAGGTAGAAAGAAGGGTATAACAAAGCGTGTTGACAACGTTAAGCGATTAATATGATTCTTGGAGAGTAACAGGTAAACCGATTATGATGACAGCAGACCGAATGCGAGCGGCATCTTAGGTGAAACTAAGGACAACATGGTTGAGACCGAATGCGGGAGCAACATAAGTAAAGCAACGTTCCAAGAAGAAAAGGAAATTTAAGGAATCAGCTATGAGCGGAAGAATGCGGACGGCAGTGCGAAGAGTAACTCATGAGAGCAATTAAGAGACGATAGTCAGGATGAAAAAGGTTTACTACTAAAGTGTGGTGAGCCAGGGACGCTCTCGTGCGAAGTATGAATCGTTCAGTGCTGAAATAGCATCGGTAATATCCCGGTAATCTGAGAGAACTCTGAGAGCCGGAGACCGAACAGACGAGACTCGAGAAGTGTTGAAGACCTGTGTTTTCCAGTCGCCGTATCAAACTGTTGAACCCTAGTGAGCCGTTGTGTGAACTTCCTCTGCTCAGTTTACAGTTGTAGCGGTATATCGAAGCCCTGGAAGTATCTCCAGGAAGGTAACTGAATTTATTCGCACGCAGGCTGCCAACATGTGTTTAATACTGGGTGACTTCAACCACCCTAAAGCCTGCTTGGTTGATCTATCTTGCAGTCCGGCACTTTCGGTTCGGTTCTCCTCGAGCTAACATGGCAACTGCCTTTGCATCAGTTCGTGGACCTACTGACTAGAAATACGAGCAATCAAATTCCGTCGACCATGGATCTCATTTTTGCGAAGTCCCACGATTTCATAAGTGATACTACCTACGGCTGTCCTCCAGGAGTCAGTGATCGTGTCTGCAACTCCTTTCGATGTGCTCTAAGTGTCATTAAGCCACCGCTGAGGCATGTCCAAATATTTGGCGGGCAGACTAACGCAACGCTTCAGTTCTGTGTTGCACGATCACCGTGGCTGAAACCGTGGAGACAGCCCGGGAGAATTTAACCGCATACCACACCGAGATCTCTGCTCCCAACAACCCACTCATTAAGAGATGGGTGACACGGACGCAGCCTCCGTCAATAGATCATACAAGTAAATACCTGCTCAGGAAACGCTCTAATTGCTGGCGAACTTACCAAACGGCTTCATCAACCAGCACCTACGAAAGCCATCGAGCCGTAAGAAATAAATGTAAGCAACATCTTATAACGCTTCTTCTTCTTCAGCAGCCGTAACAAATCCAAAGTTCTTGGCTTACGTAAAGCGATGTAGCGGTACAAACTCGTCTATACTGGCTCTACTACGGGCGGAGAGGACACATAGGCATACCGACTGAAATAACGCTTGTATACTTAGGGAACATTATAAGGGTGTGTTTTCTCGTGAGGCCTCTCTACCTCACTTTGAGTTGGTCGCGAAAGTCTAGGAGGATTCTTGCCTAACTGAAATCAGCATAACGGAGACACAGGTCTTGGAGCTTCTGGCCCTGGTTAAGTTCCTCCAAAGCTAATGCATGAATTGGCCGCTGAGCTAAGTGGCCCTCTGACATGCATGTTTACAATATCGCTCGACAGCCGTGCCTTACCTTCGGAATGGAAGAAGGCAATCATCTCCCCGAGTTTTAAGAGTGATGACAGCTCTGCCCGCATACTACCAGCCTGTCAGCTTGACAAGCGTATTAGTTAGGTTGTTTGAACTATTGGTCAGGGATTCGGTGAAGAATCACCTGATTAAAGTTAACCTTCTCAGTGCTGAACAGCACGGATTCCGTAAGGGATTTTTGTGTCTGACAAATTTACTTGTAGCCCACGGAAGCTGGGATGAAGCAGTAGACAACGGTCACGCTATCGACGTGCTTTCCGTTGACTTCCCGAAAGCCTTTGATACGGTCCCATAGCAACGACTCTCACTGAAGTTGAGATCGTATGGAATCGCTGGAGCTACCCATAAATGGGTCCGTGCTTTCCGAGGGGAGAGAACCGTGTGCACACGTAAAGCGTAGCCTTCCGCTTAGACAAGCTGTGCTTAGTGGAGTTCCGCAAGGCGCGGTTCTAGTGTCGTTGAATTTGGCGATTTATCTCAATGACCTACCCCAGGAGCTTGAAGTACCGTCGCTATTATTTAACGATAACCTCAAGCTCTGGAATATTATGGATATCGCTGGTGGCTCTGAGGTACTGCAGCGTGCCTTGGATAGACTCCTGGATCGGTCAACCCAATGGCTGATGCCTATAAATCGGGCGAAAGGTGTTATTCTCCGTATTGGAGGTGCTAGTCCCCCCACGCGATATGTAGTTGGTGGAAGTAAAATCTCTGTTGTCACTCAGCAGATTGAACTAGGTACAACCCACACCACATTGCTTCACTCTGGGGACAAATGTAGGAGGATTGCTTGTAGCGGGTTTCGAATGACGTGGTTTATTCGCCGCTCCTTCGGTGTTTCAAAGGTCAATATCTTTGGGAAGCTGTTTTTAGCTTTTGCGCCACCCAACTTATAATACTGGATCCAGGCTTGTCCACTTTGTCTTGTAAGAGACAAAATGGAACTGGAGAGGGTTTTGTGAGTGGGTACAAGGATAGTGCAACGATTACGGAGGCAAAAGTATTCCGAACGTTTGCTTAGTTTAAAAAAAAAATAAACTGTTTATTCTCAGTTTCATAGAGACACACCAACGCAGGCATGATCAAGGTTTAAAAACAGATATGTATCACGACGATACATTGGGTTCAATCGTGTGTAGTTGAAACGGTGTCGGGAAGAGTAGATATGTGAGTCTAGTCGACTTGCCAGTGTGTAGTTGTGGGCTGTGACTTTATTCAGTGGCGAGTCACATCCGCCACGTCGCAGAGTTGTTATAGGGAGAAAGCTGGCCAGGTGAAAACCCACCACGTCCTGCAACACTGCTGTAAAGCATTTTGGACGTTATTGTTGAACTGGCAAAGCCGCTTGACGACTGGTTTTACCTTCGGTTTTTCGCAGAATAATGGCTTCTAATTTCCTCTGTTAGTTGGACAGGTAATTTGACCGGGGTCGCCATGATTTTTGAGGTAGGTGGAGGCGAGGGTCATCGCGATTATTCATCTTGTTGTATGTCCAGGTGAGCAAAAGTTTAACTTTTCCGCTGTCCCGATTTTTCAGATGTATAATTTATGGGAGTATGAGGATATGTTCAGTTCTCCATACTGGACAAGGGTTGTGGTGATTGTAGTTCGGTCCTTCCGGAGTTCTACCATGCTCCATGTAAGTCCTTGTGGATTGTTACGTCAGTCTTGGGCCAAAACTGTTCCTCAGTCCGATTCCAGACTTCCAAAGTTCCCGGATCTCGGAGAAAAGGGAAAGTGAGGGACAACCGAGAGAAGAACGCAAGAACAGGCATGGAGTTAAACATTGTTATGTCCTGCGTTACAACGTTTGGGCTTGAGACAAAAGCGTGTACACTGTGCAACAATCATTATGCTGAAAATGTATTTTGAATATCCTACAGAATCAGTAGCCGTATGGGTGGATTTCTAACGCCTGCGTAGAGACAACAGCGTTGTACCAGTGCGTAACCTACGATGTATCGGTTTAGTATGAGCCAATAATTGCGCGGAGAGATCAAAGAGAGTTAGCATATTGGTGGTGAATGTCAGGTGCGTGAACAGCACGTAGCTAGCTTAACCCGAGAGGGAGTGCAGAATAAGTGAAAATACATAGGTTGCCGCAATAGAGACCTAAAAATCAATTGGTGGCAGGGCAGCGGAAAGATTGGATGCAGATTCTAAAGAAATAAAGGTTATTGAGATACGGAGTGGCTCCTAACAAGCACTTGATCGTTGCACATGCATGGGACCTACGGCCACTAGCTACTTCTGAACAGAGATGCGGAATTTACGACGACCGACAGATGGTGGCGCTAGGAGAGACACAGTGGCCAGATGTAGCCATTCCAATCAGAAGCTTGGTCACTGGTGTATGCCTCTAGGGTCGCTGAGTGTATCAACAGGCCAGTGAAGGTAAGTGATAGACATTCTAGCGGAATGTATGATGGAGAGCTAGGGAGTGTATCCAAGCAAGCTGATGATCTGCGCAGAAGGGACATGGTGCATACGGCGAATTGCTGTAGTGATGAGGAAGATAAGAAGAGCGGCAAATGGTGGCGCTAGGATAAAGAGTATCAGTGGCCAGCAAAGGCATTCGGGTCAAGCTTACTGAGAACCAGTGGATACCTATCGTGACAGAAGAAGTCAACAAACCAGCGAATAGGTGATGCAAACAATTCATGAGAATAAGTGTTAGTGAGCTAAGGAGTGACTCCTGGCGCAAAGAATTATGTTACCAACAATGACTCGTTGCAGCTAAAAGTGGTGAGATAGGTAATTGGAATAACTGATAATGGCACTAAAGGAGAGAGTATCAACGGCTGGCAACGGCATGGCGGTAAACCCTTAAAGTTGCTTGTGGATACCTAAAGTATCTCAAAATAAGTCAACAGACTGCAAATGTACGTGAAGCAC